CTAGACCGTTCTGGAGTAGTACGGATTGTCCTAGACAGTACCAGAAGAGTCCGGAAGCATAGCTATAGTATACGAGCAGAGAGTCCCAAATATGGTAACATACTACATAAGCGACTACAGCTAAGCGCTAGAAGACGCATAGCCTCGTGTAGTCCGGACCGGATAAGTCCAAGTTCAACACCCCGGATCCCACCCTTGCCGTACTGCAGCAGATCTTGCTACAGCTCAATAGCTTCTCCGTCAACCCTCCTGGCGCACTCGTCAACTCCACCCATCCTGTGACTCCCTTCGCTCCCATCCCGATGGCCCCGGTCGAGACGTGGGCTGTCTGGCTGAACAGCCTGTGGTTCTCCGCGCTCATATGCAGTCTCGCGTCCGCTTCGATCGGCATATTGGTCAAGCAGTGGTTGCACGAGTATGAAGCTGGCATCTCGGGGACCTCAGTAGAAATCGCACGGCTGCGGCAATACCGGCTGAATCACCTTGCCAAGTGGCGCGTTGCAGAGATCATCGCCATCCTGCCAGTCTTACTCCAGGTCTCCCTCGTACTCTTCTTGGCTGGTCTACTCGTCCTTCTCTGGCACCTACACGCCACTGTCGCTATCATCATCAGTGCGCTCATTGGCGTCCTGTTGTTGTTTGTCGTGGTCACGACTGTCATGCCCGTATTCTGCAGGGGCTGTTGCTACCTAGTGATGTGCAGGGCCGGGCTGGGCTCAAATACCCGGGCTAGGGCCCGGCTTTGGAGGGCTCGGGCTCACCAAGACTTCAAGCCGGGCCCTAGTAGCAGGCTCGGGCTGGGCCAGGCTGGGCTCGGGCTTAAGCCCGGGCTTTCCGCCTGCCCCATACAGTGAAGAGATTCTGTTTTTTGTACATGGATGGTGAACTTACCTCGATATTAGTATGCATACCATGTTGCAGAAGCTGAGACTCGGACAACAGATCGTGGAAAGTGCGCGCTCTGAGAGAGTGAGAGTGTCGGAGTCACCAAATCCGGCAGTGCTAGCGCCCATTTCCAAGTGCGCGAGCTCCGGCTGCCTGTAGAGCTGCGTTGTTCTTCCCTGTGAGTCACAAAGTGCTTTTCCGAAGTCAAGTCAGCCCTTGATCATACCATGCAGACATCTTTCTTAACATCTGAAGTGATACTCGAGTAAATACGCAGGCGGGTCACAAGCCCGGGCTTGAGGGCCCGGCTCAGGCCTACCAAATCTAAAGCCGAGCCCTCAAGCCCTGAAAGCCCGACGGAGGGCCGGGCTGGGCTGGGCTTTTGAGGGCCGGGTACCCGGGGCTTTAGGGCTTGAAGCCCGGCCTTGAACATCACTATTGCTACCTCTCCCCTCCAACGTATGCTCTGTTTCGCATTGTGCAACCCATTGAGTTCCTCGTCACCTCGCTTCGGCAAGGCCCCATATTCATGGCACTGTACTTTCATTGCCATCATCTTAGTAACATTAGGCGCCTACCAAACTTCATTCGTTCACGGTGCGAGCGCCTCCGTGATTGGGCTTTGCGACAGAGTTGGACGCGGGTGACAGGACCTACATGGCGTGGCCGAGAGCAAATTGCCGTCCAGTTCTGGCCCGACTCCAAACTCAAACTCGACGTCGACATGATCGTTCAAGCCTACTCCACCACGATCGATGTCAATCATCTCTCTGACACAGCGGGGGCGATTCTCGTAGACAAAGACGCCGACGCCGTCATTGGATGTCTTGACAGGGTGGCTGTCATCAATGAGCAGCACTTCGGATTCAAACATCTCCCGATGCGCTCGGCTGACTTCTGGACCGGCGTGCTGATCCATACACCAGGCAAGGAGGTCTTCGATACCTTGACGAATACTCTCTCTATGTCGAACGAACGATATCGCGACAACATGTCGGTCGGACACTACCATAGACTGCTCCTTGCTTTGGCTGCTACAGTGGCAAATCCAGACGCAGGGTCCAACGCGCACACAGCATCGCTACGGCTTTGCAACATATTGTTCACGTTCAACCCAACCATCCTTGAGGTCATGCCGTGGAAGGTGGTCCGCCATGGTGCGTGAACGGATGCCCCATTCGATGATCCCTCAGTTGACTCGCACGATCACAGTTGCCGCAGCGACAGAGATGTGGCTGCCTCAGCTGCTATACCCTTCGGATGACGGACCAGCTTCCTATCTCAACTGGAGCACCATCTTGGACTCGCTGAGTATACTGGTCCGGTGCTGTTCTGCACCGGTCCCCTCGTGGACATGGTCGCAAGAGGAAACCAAGGTGTTCGCGGAGTGCATCACGGACTTCTTTCGGAAGGAGTCGCTCTCAATACTAACTGCCGGAAGGCTGTGGTCCTCGTGGAATGCCCGGAAGCTGCTTGCAATCCTGGACCTCGTTCTCACATACCTAAGCGAATTCGAGGATGCTCGGAGGTGGGCCCCTAGAGACTTGCTGGAGGCCGTAGCGGAATTAGTCGCATATGTCGAGGCTTCGAGGGCTTCCGAGTCCTACCTCGATCTTGAGGACTCGGATGAAGACGATGTGCTAGAGGGACTTGGAAAGGTGAAGCACAACCTGGAAAAATGCAGATCTCTAGAACTGGGTGTAGGATCAGATGAGGAGAGGATACAGGATCCTCTGCCAGACTTAAAGGTATGTCCGATGTGTTCAGCACCGTAACCGTCCCAGTACTCATGTCTTCTTCTAACACATTTTTGCTTCTTCGATGACGGTAGCCCGATACAGGCGCAATGAGTGTGCACTCCGCAGGAGAATAAGTCTCTGGGGTGCGTACAGGTATGTCTCACCTGAATTCAACGTCGGTATCGTGTTCAAATGCTTGCACAGGTATCGGCGCAGACTGTAAGCCCCACTCTACGTCATGGCCTTACTTGACACTCTTCACATATTACGTACGCATACAGTTATATAGTTGACGTCCTATACCGTGTCTCCTAGCTCTGCTCACCACGGTATAGGTACGTATTCTCATACACATGTATTCTAGCTCTGCTCACCACGGTATAGGTACGTATTCTCATACACATGTATTCTAGCTCTGCTCACCACGGTATAGATCTCGTTCTAGTTTTACATCCCGAGCTTCAGTGAGGAGGTTCTGTGAACCTCCTTTCACTTTTTTTAAAACTTCGAACGAACGCGCTGTCGCCACACCCAACAACGCTGCTCGACACCCAACGCCCTCAGTCAACCTGTCGCCGTTCCGAGTAACGCGCAGTCGCTTCCGCGACTTCATCAACCCGTTCCCGTTCGCCGAACTCGAAGGACACGACTTCGCCGAACAACTGTCACCCCCTATCGAACTCAACCCAGTCGATTCCCCGGACCCCGCCAAAGAGGATAGTGACTCCTCATACTCCCTGGTCAGCTCACTCGCATCCCTGCAATCGCTGTCCTCCGCGGACGCAATTTTGGAGCCCGCGGCACTCATCCGAGACGCATATACCCAAGTTGAACCCCCCCGGGCGCTCTCCGAGTCCCCTTCCCCGTCCTCCCCCAGCTCCCCACCTGCATATATCCATCTCACCCCGCGCAACATGCCTCCTGGCGACGCTCCGGTCGTGATGATCCCGAAATCGGCACCTGGAATCGGTAATGGCAACATCACACCCTCCGTCATCAACGCCTGGGAACACGGATGCCTCCAATTCTTCCGCGACCGCAACATCACCGAAGAGGACAAGGTATTCAAGGCCTGCATGTATATCTCCCACGACATTATCCGCGACTGGTACCGCACCGACAGCTGCCGCTTCGATGGCATGGATTTCGACGAATTCCTCGCTGAGCTACGCGCGAATCACCTCCCCATGAACTGGGACGTCGACATCAAGACTCAGATCATGAATGCCAGACAGCGTGAGAACCAGACTTTCCTGGATTTTTGTCTTGGGACTCGAGGTCCTCAACACCCAGTTACGCG